AAACAACTTTTTTTTTTCATGAGTAATTTTACATTTCTAAGAAACGCTTTGTGAAATACTCAGAGCAATACTTTAGAGTCCTTAATTTAGGACTGATGCCCATTATTTTTAAGATTTTCTCCTAAATCGGCAAGTTATGAGCTACTTTTAGCCTTGTTGATGTTTTAGTTGAAAAATATTAAGTTATGACTATTTTATAGAGCAACGGTTCTTGAAATTGCGTACAGATGCGGAAACTGTACAGATTTTGCATGCGTATGATATTTATTTTTTGCTCAGAAAAACAAAAACTAAATTGCAATTAAATTAAACAGAAAACCTTTTAAATTTTTTGGGAAAAACAACAATTTAAAGCAGTATTACACATCGTTTTTATGCTTAAACCCTTTGTCGTCTTTGACCCATATATATATATATATGTATATGTATATATATATACAAGAATATATGTATATATATACATTTTTAAAGTGTATCTGATTTTTATTTATTGTTGAATGCATTACAAACAATCTGTCTATACTGTATTGTGTGCATTTAATTTATTGCATCAAGCATCGTTGTTCTCTGCTGACTTTAAAAAAAAACATACGTAAAATACATTTATGGCTTATGACCAGTTGAGAACCACTGGTTTTGGAAATAAGTATCAGATTTGCTAAATAGAGCATTATAGATCTAGAAGAGATGAGCGTAGAATGTACTGCACTTACTGTAGATGCCAGAAATCTATTCTAACTATGAGCTAAATATGTATAAAGAAGTTTTCCTAGATATTAGCAGGCACATAATTGGATTTACATCACTCTATACTCACAACAGCGTACAGTTGTCATTATCGGTGGGAAATCAGCCAAAGAGCGTCAGTGTTGGATCAGGTTATCCGCCACAGGTCGCGCAGAGCGGGCGCAGGTCCTCTCAGTCTGGCTCGGGATTGGCCACCGAATCCAAAACCAATCCAGATGCTGGACACATTAAATCTAGAAAATCAGCTACGATTATAGCTGGATCAAATGGCAGCTTCGCCATGTTCTTGTACCAATGAATATGCACTGTAGCAATAAATCTGCTGTTTCACCTGAGATTTGTTTGGATAACCGTGCATTTTATTGGGTTTTACCTCAATAATGCATTGCGAGGTTTAATCAGCTTCATGAATGTCAGTAATGTGAGTATAGAGGTTCAGGTTCATGGCCTGTATAATGTTAAACGTCCTTTTGAGAAGAATGAAACGCATTCCACATCTTGTGCCGATAGATTTGATCTGCAGTGTTTCTTAAGCTGTTTGCTTTTATCTGAGCTTTTTACTGTTAATATCAAAGTGCTGTACATAATTTGATATGCATTTATTTGTCGCTTGAGCTTCTGTTCACTTCTTCAGTCATTCCAGTGTTGCATATTAAACTCTGATCAGGTTAATCGTGTGCTTTATTTATATACACGTCACATGAGCCTTAACAGAGCTGATCTGAGATCAGCAGAGCCGGACTCGAGGGAGGACCTGCAAAAGACCCGCTCCAGCGAAAAGTGGCCCTGAAATAATCAACAACAACAATAAAAAGCATGCAACGAAGTTTAAGATTTAAAGACTGGATGACTGAAGAGTGACTTGTATTTGCTCATGGTGTTTGATTAGTATGTAATTTTAGTGATTCACACAAGCAGACGTATTTAAATGCAATGTCTTAAGCATTAAGTGTGAATCATGTGGTTTAATATGTTGAATGAAGAGAGAACGTCTCAGGTTACTTATGTAACCATGGTTCCCTGAGTAGTGAACGAGACACTGCGTCCTCTAGGGGTCGCTATGGGGGACGCCTCGTCGTGACCCGTGTCTGAAGCATACATTGAAAAAACACCAACTCATTGGCCGGCGACAGCCATGACGTCACTACCGGTGTGACTATAGTATAAATAATTAATTTTTTTAATTAATTACATTTATATAGCACTTTTCTAGGCACTCAAAGCGCTTTAAATTGTCAGGGGGTATCTCCTCATCCACCACCAGTAGAATAAATAGGCGCCGGGAGCACACATCATTCACTTCTTCGTCTGAAGCTTGCGTCCGCAGCATGGCAAGAAACC